AAGTGTTTGAATTTCTTATGGAAAGAAATTAATTTTTAAAAAGGTGTGAAATAAATTATGCACACATAGAGACCTAATTAAATAGAATTAGAGATCTAATTACATAAAATTAAAAGTTTAAGATTTTAACTTGAGGAAGCAAAAAGTTGTTAGAAAAGCTTTAAAGGAAGGACCTAAATTGGTCAATTAAAATTTTAGAGGGTTTATGGAGAAATAAAAATTGGATAAAGTAATGAATAGAAGGACTAAAATAAAACATTTTTTGGAGAGACCTTTCTCCAAATTTTGCTACCTCTCACCCTTAATGATTAAGGGTTATTAATTAACTTTGACATATGAACACAATTGATGGTTAGGATGAAGTAAATGAAGGGATGAGATTTAAGGAAAAATGAAAGGTTAGGATTAAAAAAAAATGAAGGGATAGGATTAAAAGTAAAATCAAAGGTAGAGATTAAACCAAATGAAGGGCCAAGATCAAATCAAACCACCAAAAAGTCTACCTAAGCTCATTTATAAATAGGGTTAGAAAAGGAGGTAGAAAATGTTAAAAAAATGAAAAAACTAGGGGAAATTCTTGCAAAATTTCCATAGAAAATCACAAGAAATCTCACTCGAACACTTTAAATCACCCTAAAATACTTCAATAAGCTTAGAATTTTAGGAGGTGGAGCAAAATTTTCAAGGAAGAAAAAGTTAGGATTTGGCAAAGTTTGGGTGGAAAAAGATAGCGAGAAAATTCCAAGAAAATTCAAGCTAACAAATAATAATTTAGAGCTTTTAAGGTAAGTTAATCTCACCTACATCACAAGAAAATTTTAATTGATGATTTTGCACCTTTAATTTGTGTTTAATTGAATTAATTTCACAAAATAGGGTTAGGGTTCTTCGTTAGGAAAAGTTGGAGAAAGTGATTTAGACATGGAAATTGTTACAATTGATGTTAGAATATGTTAATTTGGCATGAAAATAGGTAAGAAAAATAAAATTTTCCTTGACCTATTCTTGTTGGAAGTTTTAGCCCAAATAATGAATTTAGGGGCTTTTGTTGCATTTGTTTATTTGATGTTTGATTGATTAATTTCATGTTAATGAAGTATAAAAAGATGATTTAGCATGAAAAATTACATTAAAATCAAAAATTTTACCTAGTTTACCTTAGGTGAAAATTTGATCCGATTAGTGCTAAATTAGGATTTTTAGTGCAATTAGTACATTGATGCTTAATTGATTAAATTCATGTTATTGAAGTACATTTGGATGGTTTAGTATGGAAATTGGCTTTGAAATTGAAAAATCCACCTAGCTTAAACTAGGTGTGTATTCGGCCCAATTAAGAAAAAATTAAGGTTTTAATGTCTTTAGTGTTTTCATGGTTACCTAATGGCAATACATGTTTCATGATGTACAATTATGTGTTTGATATGGTTTCCTATGTTGTGTGGATGATGTGAATGAATGAGTGCGAGTGTGTGATTAAGTGACCTTGCCAAATGTGATATGATATGGTTTCCATGCTAAATGTTTCAATGTTTGGAAGGAGATGAATTAGAAAGGTAATAACTTATTATTTGTATTTTTATGTTATTAAGGTATGTAATTTCGTTGCATAAATACACACCATTCATGGCATGCACTATGTTATATTATAAGGTTATGCATTCGCATTGTAATGCTTACGTATGCCAAGTCATGGAAAGATTTAAAGTCATGAAAAAAATTTCCTTCATGGTTTTCCAAATGAAAATGGAACAAGTTTCATGGTTTTCATGATTTCATGAAAAGGATTTCATGGTTTCATGGAAATTGTTTTATGGTTTCCATGGTTTTCATGGTTCATGGTTCATGGTTTTCATGAGTTGAGTGGGTGCGGACTTGCATTTTAAGATACTCGGCAAGACCCATCCACAAACAAGTCCGATGTTTCAAACGGATCATGGAAAACATGAAGTCCAAAGACTAGACATCTAAAGACAAAAGATTTTTTAAAATAATCATGGGAAGATGATTTCATGGCATGGAACAAGGATTTCAAAACAAACATAAAAAATGTTTCCTTTTCCATGTGCATTTCACTTGCACGCATACATAACATCACCGATTAACTTACCGAATAATTGCTCATTGAGTCTTGTGATGTAGGAACCAAAGATAAGGATTAATGGCGATGCTTTCCTTTGAGTTGGTTACGGAGGGTCATATCTATCGGTGCGTTGTATGTATCCGACTTGTCGGTGTAAATTAGACCTCATTCTCACTATGGTTCTGCTAATACTTAGTATTTTAGTATATGTTTTGGGTATGGCTTCTTTATTTTACGTGATAGTAAAAGTAATGAAAAAGTAATTGATTAGCTAGTCATAGGAGGATAGTTTGGAAATAAATAAGCTACTTTTGTAGTAGTGTGGCATAGAATTGACTAATATGTAAACTATAGATATATAATGGTATAGTAGTATGTAGTGGTAGTTATCTTTAGTTAATTATCCGCATGCCAATATTTATGATCAAATGCATAATTAAATGACCACAATAATAATTAGGAAAGGAATAAAATTAATAAGAAAATAATTAATCCAACGAATAATGGTTATTGTCTAAATGAATGTAATAAATTTGTATAAACTTATAGAATAAGAATTTAGCAAAACCAACATACACGAGATCCAATCAATTCAATCCAAGCTATTAAAAAAATATATTAAAATGAAAAAATTTAGCAATATGTTTTGGGCTGATATTTAGAATCTATTGGTTATTTAGTAGACTTCCGCATCTTAGTCTATACGTAGTAATACCATAGAAAAGTCAAAGTGCTTTATTGGCTTGCGTTCATTGTATTTCGAATGTAGGTCAACAACAATAATATTCTTAACATATTTAGGTATTAGGTTGGGGGTGTTACATAGGTACCCCAAGGTAACAAAATCATATCGACAAACACATAAACTTGTACATATTCCAAATCTAATTTATCCAATACAATGTATGCTCAAAATAAGATTGATGGTACAATTCAATATCAAATAAACATTAACAAAATTATGTGAATAATTTAAAAATAATAGTCTAAAGTAAATTAGATTTAAACCCATAAATACATATCAAACCAAGTGAAACACTTGTTCAAACATATCCTCAAATCTCTTTTTAGATCATATAAAGTCATTTTTTATACAAAATCTTTTCAAATTCTCATAGGGTCCATTCATGTCTAAGTTCTAAGGAATGTGATTAAATCATAGATAAATCAATGATGCATGTTAGAAATATCAAAGGAATTTAAAAGCATAACATGCTATATAATATCTACTCACGAGTACAAAAGAAGGATCAAACAGAATCAAGGTGAGTATGAAGGAGTCACTCATCCGAAGAATCTAATAATACAAGATGGTGGAATAACCATCAATATTGCATATCAAAGAATAATTCAAAACAGTGAATTATTCTAGAAATAAGAATACAAAATTATCTATAAGAATGAAAATTGATCGAAAGACTCAAATCGATAATTTTAACTAAATTCGATAATCTCTCTAACAATTTGAAATAATTACCTAACAATATTCAATTATCAATCCCTAATTTAATCAACATTCGTACCTACCATCTTTTCTCAAATTCAATTTAAACCTTTAAACAATCAATTTTTTAATTAAATCAAAATTTCATTCTAATTCACTCAATACTCATTCCATTCATCTTTAATAGCATTTATACAACTTAATTCTTCATTTTTTGCCAAATTCTTTTCAATTTAAACCCAATTTCAGATTTTTTACTATTCATCATCTTCAACCTCTCAATTAATCAAATTTAGTTCATTCCACTTCAATTTAACTTCATAAAAAACTTACCCAAAGTAATTAAACATCATTTATTCACTTATAATCACTTAATTAACTTTTTTCTAAATGGTTCTCAAAACCCTAACATTAATCTATCATAATTCTTCATTCAAACATCAAACCCAATACAATATAACTTCAAAATCATTAATAACACATATAAATATTCCAATTTAAAGACCAGTTGACAAGAACTTTTACCATTGAGAATTGGTTTTTTAACCCAAATTCAATCCTAACTCTCTAAGTTTTTAAAGCTTCAATCCAACTAAACTCCACTTAAATCAATTTATTTATCATTTTTCTATGATAATTTTACAAAGTTTTAGCTTAGCAAGTGAAAGAGGGAGATGGGAGGAAATTGGTAAAAGGGCGTGAGAAGGAGAGGAAAAGAAGAAAGTAAAATAGAGAGGGACAACAGCTTGTCCCCCTTTTGTACCTAACATGAATTTTTTTTAATTACTAACTTAAATATTATTTTGGGATAGGTTATTGCACCTATAAATTGCAACTATCACCGGGAGCCGTTATTCATCCCGTATTTCATGTGTTCTTGTTGAAAAGAAAGGTGAAAATTACTACCGTGGTTTCGCAACCTTACTAGCCTTTGATGCTATAAGGCTTTCATCCTAGGCTATCTTGGCTAGAAACTTATTAGAGCAATAACCAATCTATGGTGATGGGATTGATATAGTAGAAGGGTTTACTTATGGAGTATACTACGCGGGAGATTCGGGAGGAGTTGAAGTCGTAGTTTCTAGAGTTCAACTTTGATCCTTAAAGATAATGATCTTTTAAAGGAAGGAGTAATGTTACATTTATATTTGGATTGTTGTTAGGGATAACGGTTAGTACAATAAATAGCTAATGACATGATATTTAATTAGAAAATATTAGTTAGTAAAATTATCTTTGATAAGTCGGCAATTATGGTTAGATAGATAGTTAGAAGAATTAGTTGGGTTAGTATAAAAAGAGGAGAGGAAAGAGAGATTCACTCAATTGTTAAACTAAAAATAAAAATCAAATTGAAACTCTCTTCTCAATCTTTTTCTTCTTCTTCTCTCTCTCTCTCAATCTTCTTTTAGTTTGTCTTGTTAAGCAATAACTCTTAACACCCACCATTGAAACAACCACCAACAATGCCTCTTATTTCTCCACATCCAAATCCACCTTCCTCACCAACACTCCTCCTAATCGACCACTATCACTAAATCCAATACCAAACTCACGACCTCCTCTACCTCTAAGCCCACCACTAGCACTAGTACCAACTCCTAAGCCACCATTGAAACCTTTATAGCACCGCCACCTATTTCACCACGTCCAAAAATCCATCAACCTCACCAATACCTCTTCTTAATCCACATCTAACTCCACCACTAGCACCATCACAAAATCTAGCACCAACTCCGCCACCAATTCCACCACCTCCTCCTCTTGCACTAGCATCTAGGCCTTCACCAACCCTAGGTGGCTAAACAAATTTTTGTCATCCTCAAAAGAATCATTTTTAGTACTTTTACGGATTTTCTAGCACTATTGGAGTAGTCCTTGAAAATTTTTAAAGAGCTGAAAAAGATAAACCGAGTTTGGAGGAGAACAATGGAGGAGAAAGGAGAAGAGAAAGAAAGACATATTGTTTTATTTCATTCTTTTTATTTATTTATTATTATTATTATTATTTTGCAACGTCCGAACACGAGGCTCACATGATGTTAGACATTAGATACTTCATCAAAGAATCTAATTAAATAACAGAAATTAAATATCATGTACTCAAATAACGAAAATTAACAATTTACTACATTAAAGTGTAATTAATTTTTTAAAAAATTAATTTACTATATAAAGATAAATTAAGTCATTAATCATTATTTTTATTGAAAAATTTTGTTCAAAAAACATATCAACACCTACTTGAATTTGACAGTGAGTTGCCTAAAATTTATATTGCGGTAGAATGTGCATGATTGTTAAAAAAGAAATGAAAAAGGGCAATGGTAAGGAGTTTATGAATTGAAAATATTTTATAATAATAATAATAATAAATTGGAAGAAGGAAAAGCAAGTAAGGCCCAGGTCGCCCAACAGGCCTCCATTTGATCGTATAAAAGGCTGAAAATATCAAGCGGCCCCAAAAGTATCGAAACTCAAAGAGTCAGAAGTACAAATTGGCTTAAAAGCTACACCCAAATGAGCGAGGTACCGAGTTAAGTCCTCTGTTCTGTAGAACCAAGGAACCAACCATGGGTTTAGGGTTTTTGGCAGATTAACACTGTCCACAACTTTCCTTCCACTCTCTCTCTCTCTCTCAAAACCTTACACTTTTCCTCTTTCAATCACATTTATTCAGGTATGCTCCTCCTCAAAATCCTCTTAGCTTACCAATTTTTTTTCCTCCCCTTCTCCTCTCTCTGTGTATCATTTATTTGCTACTTCATTCTATTTCTTTTGTTTTTGTCAACATCTGTTGAAATTGACACTTTCAGACAGTTACACTTATAAAAATTTACTGGGTTTTTTTGGTTTGGTGTTATTAGTGAATTCGTAATGGCTGGAGGCCCTGTTACCTCATTGTTTAGAATCTATGCATCAAGAAACAATGCTTGTAGGTCTAGAGTTTTGCTGTCATATCAAAATTATCATTCTTTGAGACAATTTAACAATTGGGTTTTAGACACTTATCAATCTAGTTCTTCTTTTGATGTTCCTCTCCGTCAATGCTCAACTAGTTTGGCAGACATCATTCATTCTCGGTTACCTTTAAAGAATCCACAATTTTCCATTTTTAATTCTGCCAATGCGAGGCCATTTTCTTCATCTGTCAGTGATGAGGATAGTAATATGGTAGAATTGGATGAGAATAAAAGTTTGGATTTTGTAGAAAATGCTGGTTTTGAGGGTGTTGATGGGAATAGGGTTGGGGTTGTTGATGTTAATGAGAGCAATGTTTGTAATTCTGTGGCTATTGAAGAGGAACAAAGTAAGGATGCTGAGGGCGGGAAAAAAATTGTCGGGAAAACAGATGTAGCATTTCGTGATCCTGTAGAGTTATATCGGGAGCTTTGTACTGCTGAAAAGAATGATAGAATGAAGCGAACGGATTGGGAGACTCTAAGAGAGATATTCTCTTGTTTTTCAATATCAGGCTGGGCGGCTAATCAGGCTCTTGGCATCTATATTGGCATGTCATTTTTTCATACCGCTGTCCGAAAGTTCCAGAACTTCTTCTTTAAGAAATGTTCTGCGGAGCTTGCTATGCACGTGGTATCACTAGGTCCATCTGAGAAGGCTGTTAGGTTCCTTTTCCCTATATTTGTTGAGTATTGTATAGAAGAGTTTCCTGAAGAGATCAAGCGGTTTCGGAGTATGATTCGGTCAGCAGATCTTACAAAGCCACACACATGGTTCCCTTTTGCTCGAGCAATGAAACGTAAGATTATCTATCATTGTGGTCCAACAAATAGTGGCAAAACTTACAATGCATTGCAACGATTTATGGAAGCAAAGAAGGGTATTTATTGTAGTCCACTGAGGCTGTTGGCCATGGAAGTTTTTGACAAGGTTAATGCTCTTGGGGTTTACTGTAGTCTCCAAACTGGGCAAGAGAAAAAATTCGTGCCATTTTCCAGTCATATTGCTTGTACTGTGGAAATGGTGTCAACTGATGAATTGTATGATGTAGCTGTTATTGATGAGATCCAGATGATGGCTGACTCATGCAGAGGCTATGCATGGACAAGAGCATTACTTGGTTTGAATGCAGATGAAATTCATTTGTGTGGGGATCCTAGTGTTCTTGATATTGTCAAAAAGATCTGTTCAGAAACTGGGGATGAATTGCATGAACAGCATTATGAGAGGTTCAAACCTTTAGTGGTTGAAGCCAAAACTCTGTTGGGAGATTTTAAAAATGTACGGTCTGGAGATTGTGTTGTTGCTTTTTCGAGGAGAGAGATATTTGAGGTTAAAATGGCAATTGAAAAATACTCCAATCATCGCTGTTGTGTTATTTATGGTGCCTTACCACCAGAGACTCGGAGACAGCAAGCTAACTTATTCAACGATCAGGATAACGAGTATGATGTACTGGTTGCAAGTGATGCTGTGGGAATGGGTTTGAATCTCAATATTAGAAGAGTAGTTTTTAATAGCCTTTCAAAGTACAATGGTGACAAGATTGTTCAAGTGCCGCCATCACAGGTGAAGCAGATTGCTGGAAGGGCTGGTAGAAGAGGAAGTTGTTATCCAGATGGACTCACAACCACCTTGCAATTAGATGATTTGGATTACCTCATTGATTGTTTAAAGCAACCTTTCGAGAATGTCAAGAAAGTGGGTCTCTTTCCTTTCTTTGAGCAGGTTGAATTGTTTGCTGGACAACTGCCAGATATTACTTTTCCCCAGTTGCTTGAAAAGTTTGGTGAAAATTGCCGTCTTGATGGCTCATACTTCTTGTGTCGGCATGATCATATAAAGAAGGTGGCGAATATGTTGGAGAAAGTTCAGGGATTATCTTTGGAAGACCGTTTCAACTTTTGTTTTGCTCCAGTTAATTTCAGAGACCCAAAAGCAATGTACTATCTTCAAAGGTTTGCTGCATCATATAGCCAAAAGGTCCCTGTTAGTATAGCAATGGGCATGCCAAAGGGATCTGCACGGAATGATGCAGAACTCCTCGATCTTGAGACTAAACATCAAGTTTTATCCATGTATCTATGGTTGTCCCAGCACTTCAAAAAAGAAACTTTTCCATACAAGGAAAGAGCTGAGGAAATGGCAACAGATATTGCTGATTTATTGGGTCAATCTCTAATCAAAGCTTGCTGGAAACCAGAATCAAGGCAGGGAGGGAAACCAAGGCCTCAACAAAAGGAAGATGGCCATGAGAGGCACAAAGGAGATGGATACAGGAGGCCTAATTCACTCGTCAAGTTATATAAAAAGTAAGTTTCTGTTAGTTAGAGTTTATTAATGGATTTCCTGGACCAGCCAAAGGCCCAACTGTTAACAACGTCCTGTATTTATGATTCCTCACTTTCAGTTGCAACCTAGATTATGTATTGTTATATGTTTGATTTTGCTAAATACGTGCCTTTTTTTTTTCCCTACTAGTATCATTTTTGTTCATATGAAACACAATGAATTGCAAACCATGTATATTAGGATCAGATATCTTTGTAAACACACTAAATGCAATAACATTGAGAGTTGAATATAGGGTTTTTGTTTTTAATGTCTCATAAACAAATCAGAACATTTTCCTTGTTTTTAATATATTCTTTCATAATTTTCTCTTGTATGAACTCTCATTTCAATATCTTCACATTAATAAGAACCTAACCATCTGATAAATTATGGTTTCGTATGAATGTTTCAGTTTTGTTATATGATTCCAAGAATGCCACTTTTCACCTCTTTTTTTATTGGATATGTACCTGACTACCTGTTTATAGTATATCTGCCTTAATGTTTGTGTGCAAGAAACTAAATGAATTATGAAGTGAAAACCTAGACTTAGTTGACAGTAGTTCATTCTTTTCTGCATCGAAGTAATGGAATTATAAAGAGATTACTTAGAAAAGTTAGCAAATATGAAGAGAAATTGGAGTTTAATTTTCAAGTTTCTATAATAAAAAAGGCAATCTGGCAAGAAAGGTGCTGTTAAAATTATGCTTCTGGCCGAGTCAAGTGACCATGATGTTGGTCTTCGTCGAAGAGAGGGATGGTATGTAACTGTGAGGTCTTGATGCAAACAATTTGTTAAAATAGATGGATTAAAAATGCCTATGGAACCATAATTTTATTACAGCTGATGCTGACATATAGGTGAAACCATAAAGTAAGCTGCTCTACTTTGTAAATTCTATGGAGGAGAGGATGGAGATACAGAAACTGCATTGTAACAAACATAGAAGAAGCTGCACACCTTGTCTGTGCATTTATATTAGGTATATAACCTGTGGATACTGGATCATGTCAGTAGTTCTATTTTAGATACTATATGGTGCTTTCAGCCTTTTACTTATTGTTAAACTCTTTGAATGTGATGCACATTACTTTTCTTCATTGCAGGAAAAGGCAAGAGAAAGAGTCACTGCAGGGGCATTCCCAGAAGGTAGTTGTATAGGGAATCTTGCAGGTACTTGCAAATTGAACTAGCCTGTTACCCCAATTCTTATCTGATAGCTAGGCCTTGTTGTCTTTTTAGACTTAAGATATTTATTATGCTGATTGCTGGTTGCTAGTCTTTTTAGAATATGCATCCTTCATAATATATTCTCGTTTGGCCCCTTAATTTTAGTGCATCGGGCTCTTGATTGTACCTTGTGATTGCATAAAGAATTTTCAAAAGTTGAATTAGTTCAGTGCGGGTGGTGTCTTGATTGGTCTCTTAGTAATGCGCCAGCAAAATTTTCAGGCCTGCATGTTTTGGGAAGTATGGACTGTATTTTCCAAACAAACTTGCAGGTAAAGCATGCAAGTTTCATGGTGCAGTAACTGAAGTTTGCATGGAATGGTGCTTGAAGTTCTAGGACTCAAGTTCCTGTATACACAGCTTGGCACACTTGATATCAAATCCTTGCGAAATAAAAGTTTGCGACAATTCTCAGGCACTCAAGTTCCCAGGACTCCCAGTTCCAAGGAAATATTTGGTGGGAGTGGGCATGCAATGCACCAATCAAATCAACTCTCTAATCTCTATGACTATTATAGACTCTCTCTCTCTGTGAGTATTAAAGAAGTTAGCTATGTTACTCGTTCTATGTCTCAAAATTTTCATCTCGCGGAATGCAATAAAAGCTTAATGCAATAGATGCTCGTGGGCTTGGAACTTGTGATAAGAGAAACTCCTAGCTGTAGAACTCTTTGTACCTTCATTTTTCATAATTACACTTTATTTATTAAAACTTTATTTCAGATAATACCTCGTGTGTTGACTTGGTTTACACTTTTAATTTTTTGAATTAAAAAACTTTAAATTTTAATAATGGCTAGAATGTTCTTTGAAATAATTTATGTATTTTTTTTTTAAAAAAAATATTTGAGATGGGACGTATGATCGTTTGATGAAGGGTTATGTAATACCCAAAATTGCAGAACATTTCGAATATCCAAAATCTAATTGAACATAAAAAATTCTATTCTAAACATTCAAAATCCAATTTAAAACACTCAAAATTTTATGGACTATCACTATCAATCATTTGATACAGCTGCTTTATTAACTTCTTCATGTAAGTAAAATTTAAGGCGAACCGATGTAGTTGCAACCTGCATTATTCATGCATGGTTAACTAGCAGAACTGACAGAAGCATAAAAAGAGATGTCATTAATAGCTTGTCACAGAGCAAACTGAATCTCACGAAAAGCTCTCATCTCCTCATATTGCTCACATGTACTTTTTTCTTTTCTTTAGTTTTTTTTTTTAAAAAAAAAACTAAAATAACTGAATAGTTTACTATTCATTTATTATTAAAGTTTTCTGCTTTAATAATTTATTTTAATAGTTCAGATTCAAATAACTTAATCCATGTCTTTTATTTTTATCAAATTCTTTTTCTATAAAATGGAATAAATTTATCCAACTAATACTCTTAAATTGATAGTCTAACTTTTTCCTTCATTATTTATCATCTTTTATAAAGATTATTAAGTTATTTATCCTTGTTCTTTCTTTATTATTCCCAAGTCCACTTGATTATCCATATTACCATCGGCCATTAGCATGCAAGTACTAAACCAAGTAGAAGCTACACTACACACTACCATTTTATTTCATGATTAACATGTCCAAAATTGATTGATAGGTTTACAACTTACATTCCTTTTTACATGAGCCTAGCTTAGTACCACACTATTTATCAAAAATGGTTTTACATCTTTACAAGTCTATGTTTCCTTTATCGCTAACCTTCTAAACTTGTTTATCTATTCATTATCTTTACCATTATATAAAACAGAGTAATCATATCCAAGTACATATATTAAAATATCGAGAACTAACGAGCATAATCACATGGAATAGATCTAACTTAGAGCCATATGAAAGATACAATTGGCAAAAAGCCGGGAGAGTTCCCTCGGTAGCAAGCTCTAGGGAGAATATAGCCATTACTCTTTATTCTTCACCTCTATATCACAAGAACTAAGTGAGCTATTGCTCAATAAGTTAGTCATACATGCTATGCATATATGCAAGTGAATGCACTTTAAAATGCTTTTCATATCCTTTTGAAATCCTTTAAAACCCTTTCATGTCGTTTTTGAAATCCTTTGAAATCCTTTTCATGTCTTTTTGAAATCTTTTTCCTTTTTTGGACGTGCCCTACCAAACGTACGTTATGTATATATTTGTATATGTTCGACCCTTTTTCCTTTATCATTTTTTAGTTGAGGCCTTTATCAATTCCTTCAACTCGTCGAGGCTTTTATCAACTCTCTCGATGAAGAAATGCCTTTATCATTTTCTTCGGTTAAGGCCTTTACCATTTTCTTCGGTTGGGAGTTCCTTCGGTATCAAGCTCTAGCGAGAATATAACCATTACTCATTATTCTTCACCCTACATCTCAAGAACTGGGTGAACTATTGCTCAATAAGTTAGTCATGCATGCTATACATATATGCAAGTGAATGCACTTTAAAATCCTTTTCATGTTCTTTTGAAATCCTTTAAACCCTTTCCATGTCTTTTTTGAAATCTTTTCTTTTTTTGGACGCGTCCTACCGAAGTATGTTATGTACACGTCCGTGCATGTTCGACCCTTTTTCCTTTATCATTTTTCGGTTGAGACCTTTACCAATTCCCTCCATGAAGCAATGCTTTTGCCATTTTTTTCAGTTGTGGCCTTTACCATTTTTTTCAGTTCCTTTGAAGAATAATGAAGACAAACCTTTTCATGATTTTTCCATACAAATACATTTAAATATAAATGCATATCCTTATGAATCAATATAATACATACCGTGAATGTATGTGCATTTATGCAATAGAATTGCATACCTCAACAAAGTAAAATGCACATAAGAATCCATTACCTTTCACATTTCAATCCATCACATTCCATTCAAGGTACACAATCCAATCAAATAAACATTTAATGCGGTGTACAACATAACATCACATTTGGGAACATTGATCAATCAATAAGACGTTGCACCAATTCATTCACTCATTCATACCTTCATAAACATAAGTAACCATACCATAAAAATACATAATTGCACATATTAAACACATGTGTTACAATTAGTCCGTTATAAAATCACTAATTGAAATAATAGTATGGTTAACTATATATTTACTTAAAATCTACTATTTGGCCGAAACCTTCCCTTCACCCAAACTAGGTGAATTTTTCTTTTAATCATCAAATTCACATACTAGCTCATCTAACATTCTTAAGTTCTTTCTTTAATTCATCTAAGAACAATAGTACGTGAATTGAATTTCTAACCTTATTTTTTCTTACTTTGGCCAAATGTACGCCTAGCTTAAGCTTGGTGGATTTTTCAATTTAAATATTATTTCACATGTTAAATCATCTAAATACACTTCAATAACATGTATTCTATCAATTAAATATTAATAGATTAAAAGCATCATAAATCCTAAATTTTACTATTTTGGCTACAGACTTCCTTCTTAGAATAGGATAGGTAGCTTTGCAATTTCCTACCTGTTTTCATGCTCAACTTGTTTTCATGCTTAATTAACCTATTTCAACATCAATTTCAACACTTAGATCATTCCTCTCAATTCACATGTTCAATAACCCTAACCCTAACCCTAATTCATTTGATTAATTCAATTAAACTTGAATCAATTGAGCAAACTTAGCAATTCTTACAATTAAACACCTAACATCATCAATTCCCTTCACCAACATCAATTTCAATACATAAATCATATGTTCATGTATTAAAGCTTCCATTCTCATCAACATCAATTCACATAGCATGCATAATTCTTTCTCTTAAATCATTCAATTCAACACCAAACTTAAGTTCTTGTGATGTAGTGAGCCTAACTTATTTTAAATGCTACAATGCAATCCCGTTTAAGTTGAATTTTTATGCAAGATTTTCTCCCTTTTTTATTCCTCAAAGTTTTGGTCTTCTCTCAAAATTTTCCCTCTAGATATTTTTGATCTTCCAATTAGATTTCCATGCTTGATTAGGTGATTTAAGGTTGTGTTTAAGGTTTTGGTTGAATTAGCTTGTAATTTTTTGAAACTTTTTGGCAAGAGTTTGGTCGAATTTTTCTTCTTTTTTTTTCTCACCATTTTTTCCTTCCTCTTACAAGTTTAATTTATAGGTAAAAATGGTGGACTTTTCCTTATTTTGACTTAATCTTAACCATTCATTTAGTTTTAATCTCCACCATCCATTCTACTTTTAATCCTATCCATCCATTTATTTAATTAATTATTACACTAGTTTAATATGAGAGGGTGAAGTGGCGGATTTAGGAGAAAAATCTTGGCCAAAATGTTTATTTTTAGTTCCTCGATTTGTCACACTATTTTATTTTCATCCCTACATTTTAGTCCTTCTAATTTTTAATTGACTACTTTGGATCCTTCCTAAGGCTTTTTCAATATCTTTATACCCTCTAAAATTTATTTGAAGGCCAAAACTTTTAATTTTATACAATTAGGTCCGTAATTTTATACAATTAAGTCCCTATGTGCATAATTAATTCTAAACACTCAAAAAAATAATTTCTTTTCACAATAAATTCATACATTTTCTATAGTAATTTATTCATCAATTACATAATTTTTATGCACTTATTTAGTCACTCAAAATAATTATTTTATATAAAAATATACTATTCACACATAGAAAAGTTAATAAAATATTAACGAGCATAGAAAAATTTACTTAAGTGCATAAAATATTCTAACACCCCTATGACAATTCACAAGATAATTTCTATACATATTTGAAATATAATATTTTATTTATTTATAGGTTCGGATGTTACATTTAGAATACTAAATTAATAAATTCCAACTTGTTGAATCCTCACCTCATATAAATCAAATTCTCGAAGCAAGTAAACATCTGGGCTTGATCTCTTGAAACCCCTTTCCCGATCCTCTTTCACCAACAGCGGTCTCTTTGCCTCCATCAAAGTCACTACTTGCCCATGATCGAGCATGAAAAATTGGGTCTGGTTTCAAGAACTGAAGATACCTCGAGTTCACACAGGGTGATTCATCTTCAGGATTATCATCAGTGATCTGACAGGAACCCCCTAGTGCTGCTATCGTTTAAGTCATCATTCTCAATGGACAACAGAAAAAGTTCCTGATAGCACTTGGAACCATTAGAATTGCCGTCACCACTATCACCAATAGATGTAGCATGAGAAGATGGACTGCCCATCGTAACATCTTGAAGTGGCTGCTGACAAAGCATAGGGAGACTAGGCAGAAGTATCGTTTGATTGGTTGTGGGTAATACTTAATGCGACAAAGTTCAGGGATAGATTTCATGAAGTCACTAAACTTTGAGAAGCCGAGAGAGGCATGGTCTAATTCTAGGCCAAAAAGGGCCTAGAAATCAGCTTTCACAGATGATAGAGCATATTGTTCTCCCCTCTTAATTTGATACTTGTTGCAAGAAGCTAGGGAGCCACTTTCTGAATGTTCTGAACCACTCAGGCATACTTTTTTCATGTGCTTGAGATTTATTAGAACATGCACTCGGTTGACCATAGATTAATGTATCAGCCCAAGTCCGGAACTCAGATTTAATTTCTTTTGTGGTCTTACAACTGAGGATCACTTTTTCGGTCTTCTCACTTGATGTCTGCCAATTAAGCACGTCAGTTTTGGCCTTTTCACTCGGTATCTCCTTCACAGTTTTCTCTTTGAGCGTCTGTGCTTGTGGAAGTTACTCGTCAATTTGATTTCTTTCACATTGTTGGGTTAATTTCTGGAACTCAGCTATTGGAAGGAGTTTTCGAACAGCACTTTTGATCTCAACCTGCTTACTCAGAATAATAACATGGTGGGCCTCAACAGCTCCAGACACAGATTTCTTATCTTTGAAGATGACATAGCCAAATCCTCGAGACTTTATCTTATCTGCTTTTTGAACTTCAAGTATTACAGCATCGTCCACCGAACCAAATTGCTCTTCAAAAAGTTTTCCTAAAGAGTCTGATACAGAAAAAAGTTGGAGAAGAAAGACAAAGTTTCCTAAAGATAAAACTGAAATTCTATAGTTTACTAAATCAGCACTTGATTCTTCAGGTTAATAAGACTACATATTTAGTTGAAGAAGGAGGGAGCCCCTCAGCAAAAATTGGAAGAATGTGTTTGGTTTCTAACCAGAATCTACAGAACGGGGAGCCCCCCAACAAAAATTTTCCGTTCTAGTTGCTCTGCAGCAGGTGAATGAATCGCGGATCTTCCTTGCTTCACCTGCTGTAGCTCTTCCCCAGCATGTACATAGAAGCACTTGGTGCCTCTTTTACATCCATGAAGAGTATGGAAGTATCTGCAGATCTCTGTGTTTGTACTCGAGCAAGTCCTACTGTCCACAAGCAGTGGAAAATTATGAGACCAAATAAATAAAAAATATCACTATTTTATCACATGATTCTTAATGTGTCTAACCAAGGAGGTCACCCATTCGTAGGATTCCCTTTGTCTGTCAAGGTTAAGAGTTCTTTGCAGGTTCCTTGAATCACATCATCTTCTTGTAAACATGCAGTATATCTCTGCTGAATGGGACAATTTACTGCTGATTGCAAGCATGATATTAATGAAATTAGTGACAGAAGCTTCTTTATTATGATATTTTCTCAGTCTATCTAACCTTTCAAGTGTGTTTAGAATTTCAACTTACTGAGATTAACATCAGTATAGTTTAGCATGAAACGCATGTCTTGTGACTCCGCCAAGTCTACAGGTTGCTGTTTACTGGGAATGATAATAGTTATTACAAAAAGACGTCAGCATTGAGTTATAAGGACCAGCATATCATCTCGTTGAGAGGGAGACGATAAATACTAGAAAGACAATAAAAAAGGATGAAATAAATGAAAATAGGTTAGTTGCTTCTAACCGCAGATTAAAGACTGCAGTGCTTGCTCCCCGGTGTAATAGAAGCTCAGCACAGTCCCTATAGTCATTCTTCGCAGCCAAAAATAATGGGGTTTCTTTCATTTCTCTTATAGAATTGATACAATCTTGGTCTTCCAATAGAAGGGCATGCAGTACAGTGTCATAGAAAAATGACCATGATAAAATACTTAAGTTATATATGAAACCATCGAATGTTGCTAGATGTGCTTGGAAGACATTAAAACGGCAAAAGAGAGCTGAAGACCTAATACATATATGCCCGAAGTGCCTGTGAATTACCATTTGAAGCAGCAATATGAACCGTAGTCAACCCCAACTTATTTTTCTGGTTCACTCGAGCACCATGCTTCAGTGGAAGCCACATAATCCTGGGAACAGAAGGGAATTTAAAGTTCAGCAAAACAAGTGCGTGTGCGTGTGCGTGTGCTTGTGCGTGAGAGAGAGAGAGACTTCATCTGCGGAGGACATGATTGTTTATATGCCTTGAGACACCAATGAAGAGCAGAGCGTCCATCAGCATGGACATCATTTAAATCTATGTTTGTCTTCAGAAGCAACTCTGTGATGGCTTCATCTCCAGCCTGTGAGAATGATTAATAGTCTCTGGTTACATAAGAAAATAACAATCCATATTGTGGGCTTGTGATCACATGGTATACTGTGCTTCCCTTCTTTGAAGTTTTGAATATGATTTTGTTTTCCTGAGGTTTTGTTGTACATATTCTTGTCCAGGCTGATGAGCTAACTTGATTACAGGGAGAATTCAAGTCAAAAGGTAAACCAGAAGAAGGGTATGGTAACAGAATCATTTTTTGCATTTCATCATTCATGAATTTAAAATAAGTGGAATTTGTGGGTACCATTCTGAAGTAACTCCCAATGTCTAAAAGCTCATATGTTACAAAAAAACCAATGAGTCCAAAGGGGTTGGTCACTGTGGACCCCCAGAATTACAAAACTGGCCACATATCTAGGTAATCAATGATTAAAGAATATCGGATCTGGAAGGCACTTTTTGTAGGGCATGTATGTCCATTTTCCAGAGTCCCATGTACCATAATATGGCACGCATTATTCGGGTCTCATTACCTAATCCACATTTTAAACAAAATGCCGGAAAAACAAATTGGAAGGCATAAAAACCTATTCTGACCTGTGCAGCTCGGATTAATGATGACGGCAGGTACAACGTGTGAGATCAACGGCACCAAAGAGCTGAAGCAACTCAATCTCTGTTGAACAGAGAGGGTAAAAGCTCTTGTTCTTTATTTGTTGACTGCTATTTCAGAAATGAGTTTGTTACAACTAACTTTGCTCGTTATAACATACTATATATCTATAGTGCTATACTCCTCTACATCGCACATATATACTACACTATATTTATACATGTATAGCTGGACAATGAAAATTATAAATATACCCTTCTCAATACTCCCCTCAAGTTAGTGGTTTATATAAATCATAAACTTCCAACTTGGAGAGAAGAAACCGATGTTGTTTACTACCGAGTGCTTTAGTGAAAATGCCTACCAATTGTTCTCTTGTCCGAACAAAGACAGTCCCGATCACCCCTCTTTAAGCTTATTGCAAACAAGATGACAATCTATCTCGATATGTTTCATTCGCTCATGATAAATTGGGTTGAATGCAATATGCAAGGTCGTAGGGTGCGGATCCTTAACTCCGCAACTCTTGTAATAATCTAACCAACCAAAAAATCTCACAAGTAGTCGAAGCCATAGCCCCGTACTCGGTTTTAGCAGAAGATCTAGAAACAATATGTTGTTTCTTAGTTTTCCATGATATGAGAGTCTCTAAGGAAAATACAAAAGCCGGTTAAGGACTTTCTTGTCATAAGACAAGAAGCCCAATCGGAATTACAAAACACTTTAAGTAGTAAATCACCAATAGAGGATAATAGAATACCAAGGCCTAGACTTCTTTTGAGGTATTTGAGAATTCGTATTGCAAGCATGCATATGAGATTGCTTCGATCGATGCATGAATTGAATAAGAATTTGCACCGAATAGCAAAGATTAGGCCTAGTCACCGTAAAATAAATCAGTTTGTCTACCAACCTTTGTTACTCAATAGGATCAAAGAGCAAAGAATCCGCATTGGCGTTCGAAAGTGCTTCATTAAATTCAACTATGGTAAGCTTCAAATTTGGTTCCAAGTGGCATCTCCACTGGTTTTGAAGCCGATAAACCAACATCATGTAGTAATTCCGTAACATATTTCCTTTGACATAAATATATTCCTTGTTTTGATCAAGCCAATTCTATACCCAAGAAATATTTCGGATCGCCCAAATCCTTGATATAAAAAGTTTCATGCAAGAAACTCTTGATTTGTCGTATAATTTCAACATCACTTTCAGTAATCAAGATGTCATCAACATAAACCAAGCAACACAATAATCTTACTAGTAGTGACCTTAGTAAACATGGAATAATCATTCTTAGATTGAGAATAACTCGTTGATATCATGGTAATGGTAAATTTAGAGTTCCACTACCGTGAAGCCTCGCTTGAGTCCATAAAGGGACTTAAGTAATTTGCGGACCAAACCCTCTCTCCGAGTTCTAAGACTAAGAGGTAATGTCATATAGACTTCTTCATGAAAGTCTCCATATAGAAATGCATTTGTAACATCCATCCGATAAAAAGGCCAATTGTTGATTACGACTAATGCAATAATTGTTCTAACGATCACCATTTTAACAACAGGGGAAAATTTTTCACTATAATCAATGCTTTTTTATTGTGTTTACCCCTTAGCTACTAATCCGGCCTTATACCTCTCAACACTACCATCGGAGTTAAGCTTCACTTTATAAACCCATTTACAACCTATAGGTTGCTTCCTTAATGGTAGAGGAATTAAGTCCCATGTTCCGTTCAATTCAAGAGCTTGAAGCTCCTTAGTCATAGCATCTATCCACTTAGAATCTTTAATAGCTTCAAAATAAGTACTAGGTTCTCTAATAGATGACATGGATGTAAGAAAGGCAAAATAAGTTGGAGAAAAAGAATGGAAAGAAAGGAAATTTATGATCGAAAATGAAACGAGTAGGGTTGATAGCGAGCAGTAGCATTGGATTGATGTAGAGTTAGACAAGAAAAGTCTTTAGTCCGGATAGGATGTTAGGAAACTCTATGAGACCTACGAGGAGGGATCATATCGGATAAAGGGCGATGTGAAATAGGAGGATTATATGAAACATTATGATGAGGTGAAACAAGTAGGATCATGCAAAACATTGGAATGAAGATCGAAATAGAAGGTGATGATGGGGAATAAGATGATGGATCATCATCATAAGTCCATTGTAAGATAGGATTAGTATTATGGATTGTAGAGGTGTGAAAAAAATTATTATCGGATGAAATAAAAGAGGGATGATAAGGAAATATAGATTCATGAAACAATACATCACGTAAGAAAAAGACTTTTTGAGTTTCTAAATCTAGAACTCTATATCCCTTTTGTAAGGATATCCTAAAAAACACACAAGCTTGGATCTAGGAGAAAATTTATCGGGATGGGGTAAGGCTTTGGCATAACAAAGACATCCAAACACTTTAAGATGATGAAAATCTAGAGTTTTATGAAACAACAGCTCAAATGGGGTTTTACCCTTCGAAAAGGGAGTAAGAATTCTATTAATGAGGTATGTAGATGAAAGAATACAATCTCCCTAAAATCTAATAGGAAAATTGGACTGAAACATTTAGGCCCTAGCAATGTTGAGAATGTGTATGTGTTTTCTTTCTACTACTCCATTTTGTTGTGGAGTGTAAGGTGTGGTTGTTTCATGGAGGATCCCTTTGGAAGAAAAAAATGCTTAACAATTAGTTTGAAGAAATTCGGATCCTCTCGTCCGATCTTATTCTCTTGATGTTACATAGAAACCGTGTTTGAACAAGATTGTAAAATTTTTGGAGAAATGAAAGTGCTTGAGACTTGGTTTTCATAAAAAATGTCCAAGTTCCTCTAGAGAAATCATCAATCATAAAAAGAAAATATTTTTCCTCGGTATATGTTGGATGCTTATATGGACCCCATATATCAACATGAATAAGGTCAAACAAATAATGTGTGACAAATGTACTATATGAAAATTTCAGTCTTATTGTTTTGGCAAAAGGGCAAATGTCACACAACAAATCAAAATACGAAAAACGTACCGATATAACAAGAATCAAATTCAATCTTGAAAATGATATATGTCCAAAATGTTTATGCCAAAGTATTACACTCGTCCGAAGAACATGATGTATTAGGACTAACTTTATTACAAAGAAATTTACTAGATCTTTGATAAATTGGAATGTCAACGTAAGCAGTATTTTGAAAATGAAGTGAAGTCGAAGGTATGGTAGACTAGAATGTTTTGGGCATGACATAGTATAAACCATTTCTAACATTACCAATCCCCTTTGTCTTCCCGAGTCTTGAGATCCCGAAATAGATAAAAACATGGATAAAAGGATGCTAGACAATCGTTGTTAGTAGTGAATTTTACTACCGATAATAAATTGAATTTGAAGTCAAGTAAGTATAAGACATTTTGAAGGTGTATGGAAGAAAAAGAGATCGAACCTACATGAGTAACTTGAATTCCGTTACCATTAGGTAATCCGACAATGTAATATGATGCTAATTTCTTAGGATTATTCAAGCACTTAAAATGTCCAAGTCATGTGAACATTAGCACCAGTACCCACTACCCACTCATCATCATTAGAAACAATGTCGACAAGGCTATAAAAAAACTCACCATCCATATTTGCAACCGATTCAACTCTTGAATTAGCTCTTCTGAAGTAGCTTCTCTAAATAATAACCGTAATATTTGTTGATATTGTTGCTTAGAAAATGCAGGAGGTGAACATAATTTGTTTGCACTAGTCACGTGATTCCGATCCGCATTATCAATCGATTGTGTGCCTTAACCGGTGTGAATATTAACGGTATCATGTCCTACAAACTCGCATTATGTACACTATAAAATCTCCGTCCGTCTACTCTAGAATTGACATTTGCTCATCTTCTTCCCCCGATATTTCCAGAAAACCTCTTATTGGAATTTGGATACCCATGAAGCTTGTAGCATGCATTTTTATTATGCCCTATAACATGGCAATAATCACAAATAATTTTTTTTGGCCAATTACTTTTGTCAACAAACCGCTTCCTTAGATACGCACTTCTATTGGAATAAAATGTAGTATGTGCCTTTTGATGTGAATTCATTCCCTCTCGCGATTCCTCATTAGAGACCACAGAGTAAGCTTGTGAATGACTAGGCAAAGAATTCATCAACAAAATCTGTGATCTCACATATTGAAATTGATCATTCAAACCCATTAGAAATTACATCATCTTATGTTGTTATGTATATTTAACAAAAGGTTGGGTGACCTCACCGTGGCGACTTGGGCAAACACTAGTTAAAGTAGATATCAAGGAATCATACCGATCCTAGAGATGTTTTAGCTTGGAGTAATAGACTACTACATTGTTATTTTCGTATACTAGTGAATTAGTTTCTTTATGTAGAGTAAAAATCTTAGCTTCGTGTTGTTTATCAAATCTTTCCTTTAAGTCTTTCCAAACTTCTTCAACAGATTGATAGTAAACTAATCCATTGAATAGTTGTATAGATACCGAATTTAACAACCAAACATGAACCAAAGCATTGGATTTCTTCCATTATTTATAATCAAGTGAATCAATACCTGGTTTAAAGCATTTACCAATTACAAAACCATCTTTACTCTTTGCTTCTAAAGAAATCA